ATTTCTTTTAAAAAAGCACTGGTGATAGAACTTGGTGATAGAGTACTTATCTAGTATGTGCAAGGTTTGCTCTCCAGTGACTATTAAAAGAAAAAGTCATTGACTTATAGTTGTTTATCTGGGGGTGAGGGCAGGAGAATCTTGATGATGGAGTTATTACTAGAATGCAGGAAATACACGCATACACATAAAATAATAATAAATAAAATATTTTTTTTAAAAAATTTCTTTTAAAAAAGCACTGGTGATAGAACTTGGTGATAGAGTACTTATCTAGTATGTGCAAGGTTTGCTCTCCAGTGACTATTAAAAGAAAAAGTCATTGACTTATAGTTGTTTATCTGGGGGTGAGGGCAGGAGAATCTTGATGATGGAGTTATTACTAGAGTAAGGTCTGGCTATGGGGATCTCTGCTCAGCTGGGCAGAACAGAAGAAGCATGTGTAGGCAGATGAAATTTGGTTTTCTCTCAAAACCAAGTGGGTAAGCAGCATGGAGGGTCAGATGGAGACATAAGGGGTCTATCAGGCTGAGGAGAGGACCTGAAGGATCTGGGGTCTGCTCAACAAAGGCAGGAGCACTAAAGAAGTTCACCACATTTCCTTGGCCCCAAATGGCATCTCTGCAGTATCCTTAACTCCTCCCCTTCTGGCCTGTGGATCCAGCTGCCTGTTGCAGGTTCCACAGAACCAAAGGTCTCCTGTTCCTGCTCCTCCCTAGTGCTTCCCAGATTCTGTTTCCCGCATCTAAGCCACACCAGGGGCTCCTTCCTGATCTTCTGTTTTTCTTTAGTCCAAGGCTTTTCTGGAGTGAACAGTGCACAGTCTCTCCTAGCCTTTCCCTGAAGCATGGTTGCCTCATTCCAAGCTGCTCAACTAGCATTCAGGCAGGGAGATGGAAAGGGAGCCTGGAGGAGACAGGGCTAAATTCAGTGACTCCTGGAACACTGCCCCCAGCAGGCTCCTGGCCCCAGGATATACAGAAACCCACTACAGCCCAGATGGACAGCCAGTGGTGCTGGTCCCCAACCACATGGTGAGATGCTGCTATGGGCTCTGAGGACAGGGTATTGGGTGCTGGGGATGCAGCCCTAAATTCCTGCTCCTCTCCACTTTGCATTCCTGAGGAGGTTGGAGCCAGCCCCTAGGCCTCCCTCTCCATGGTCCTTACCCCTTCAACTTCAGCCCTGCCTGAAATTTGGGACTGAGTCTCTTCCTCTCTAGGATCACTGCCACTATCATGGGCGTGTGAGGGGCTTCCAAGACTCCTGGGTAGTCCTCAGCACCTGTTCTGGGATGAGGTGAGACGTTTGGGGGGAGGGACCTGGATCTGGTGCAGAGGTAAGAGCTCTTTCACACACACCTCTGCATTCTTTTGCACTCTAGTGGCCTGATTGTGCTCACCAGCAATGTCAGCTACTATCTTTATCCCCGGCCTCCTGGGGACACCGAGGACTTTGCAACCCACAAGATCTTCCGGATGGAGCAGCTGCTTACCTGGAAAGGGACCTGTGGTGACAAGGACTTGGGGGACAAAGTGGGCATGGCCAGTCTTCCTCATGCCCCCCAGAGCAGGGTCAGGGGCACAGCCAAGGATGGGAGTGGGCATACAGTACCCATGGTCCTCCAAATCAGGTCACAGGAATGCAGGTCCTAGACCTGCCCACCTGTCTTGATATTTTAACTGAGGCCCAAGAAGCAAGTTTGAGCAAAAATTTAACTGCTCTGTCTGGGAATTGGGGCTGGTGGTCAGGACTCAAGCCCAGGTGCCTTCCCCTCACCATTTGCCACTCACAGGTGAGGCGAGAGGCCCGCAGGAACCCCAGGTACCTGGAGCTGTACATAGTGGCTGACCACACCCTGGTGAGAAGAGACCCAAGGGGGCTAGCTCGGGCTGCAGGGGAGCCAGATCAGCTTCTTATGGCCCTGGGATTTCTGCTTTCCCAGTTTTTGATCCAGAACCAGAACTTGAACCAAACCAAACAGCGTCTCCTGGAAGTCGTCAATTGTGTGGACCAGGTTGGGAGAGTTAGGAAGCAGAAGGATGGGGCGTGTCTAT